TGCAAAATTAATCTTAGTCTTAAAAAATAATTGCATACTCAAAAAAAAAATGATGTAGATCAGCGTTCACCAACCTTTTTGACCACAGGGACAACTAAAATAAAAAATTGAATCCCACGAATCACTACAAGATTCTAAATATAAAAGTGTACTTTTTTGCATTTCGTACTTTTATAAACATGGGATAAACAAAAATTGCAAATATATTCAGTGGTTGGCGACCACAAAAAGTAAATCAAACGTAACCTTAATATAATTTAAGTTTATACAACATTAATTTAATTTTTTATTTTTATTCATTACAGTAATGTTTATAATAATTAGTTTTTGTAAGACACAAATATTTGTAAAGACATTTTCAATACACTTATCTATTAATATGTTATTTTTTAGATAATTGAAACAATATAATTTAAAATTAATTGAAAATATATATTGTTTCATTGAATACGACAAAATTGTATTCGTAACGGTTATTTTATGACATTTTGCATATTTAATTTTATGATACTTTGAACGATGCTATAAAAACACATTTTAGTGTACATATAATCAATCACAAATTTGTGATGGGTATACTAATGTACTCTTTGCTATGAAACACCTTATTTGAATACGTACACATTTTCTTTACAGTTTTACAGTGTTTTACATGAAATAAACGACGTAAACTTTTAACTTTCCAATAATTTTGTCCATTAACCCCATTTTTAGTTATAAGATAATAATTTTCAATTTTATTTTAAATTTATAACAGAAGACATTATTATATTGTTGTATAAATTATTTAAGTTGTAAGAGAAGTGATTGACTTTTAATTAATTTTTTTTCAAAGACTGATTTTTTGGTATACACTATTTTTTATTTATAGGACTGAGAATTTTTATAAATTAATTAAATTATTATTTAAAGGTACATTGAGTATATTCATGAGATATTTTTATTCTTATGTTGCATGTCTAAAAATATTTCATTTATAGATTTTTTTTTTCAATTATTTGCGAGAGAAGAGATTAATTTTGCTATGTTTTTTATAAACTATGATTACTATTTTTCGAAAAGAGCAATACATTTTGTAAATTAATTATTTAAAAAAATAATCAAAGTGTACATAGAAACGAACAATAATGTCATTGTTCATTCCTAATGAGAATAAAAAATAATTGTATGTCTTGAGAGTAGAAAAATCCTTTGATCAATAATAATTTAATTCACATGAACTAATAAAGATTTGCATATAAATAAATATGGAAATTTGATACCAAATTACTATTTAACGTTAAAATGAAAACTGTTATTTTCTTGCAATTGTGTTAAACCCACGAAAGCGATTTTCGGATTCCATTGGACGGACGCGTTGAAATGTTTAAAGGCGTACTGGACACGAGCCAAGGATCGGGAAACTATTTTATCCAGCATTTATTTATAAATAAAATTAATTCCCGATGCGTCTCCGACTGTGACGATTCCAATTCCACACAACTGCAGAGCGCAAAAGCGATGTAATCAATTGGAAAAGTTATCCTGTTATTGCAATTCGTTTACAACAGAACAAATATGTAAGGCGGATCGAAGCCAACAACACTCGATTTTTCACATGTTTGGTTTTCATTTGACTCCCTTCACTTGTTTGCACTTACTCACTGTTTGTACTCGGTCCTCGATATTAGTTTACGTTTGATCTCTCTTTTTTTCATGTCGATGTGTACTTGTTTATTTTACGTATGCTGTTGTTATTGTTATAATTCGATGATTGCTTCGATCAAATAATTGTTTAATATTTGGGAGACAATTTATTTCATCGCCTTCGGGCTTTACATCGAAATAGCGCGAATTTGTTTACACGGTTCAGTGTACTTTGATGTTGGTCATGCTGAGATAAAGCAAAGATGAGGAGCAAAAGAGTACAGTCAACGTTTAATTAAAGTACATTCAATGATATAGAGTTATTTACGATTCTCTGAATGAAATAATGTTTAAATATTCATATGAACGTACATTGATCCAAAATGTACATTCGTGTTAATATCAAGTACGTTAATGCGAACAAATATATATGTAAACTCCAAAATAATATTATTTGCGGCCCTGTTATATTACATAAATTTTCATATGACCTAATAATTATGCAATTGATTAATATTTCATGAACTTACAATTATACAAAGAATTATTTACGTCCCTCCGACTTAAATAATATATAAATATCAGTCGAACATACAATTATTCAAATTATGTGTACGTTGGAATGAGTAGAGTGTACATAAATGACAATACAAATACGTCTGTACCTAAAAATATAATTATTTTCGGCCTTTTGAGTGAATCAATATATAAATATTTATACAAACTAAGAATTATAGAAGCAATATATAAATATGTGCATGAACTTGTAATTATACAAAATGTACGTTATAATGAACAAGGAGTGCATTAACGAGAACAAAAACAAGTGTTCGCACAAAAATAATATTATTTATGACCCTTTAACTAAATCTATATATAAATATGTGTACGAACTTGTAATTAAGCAAAATGTACGTTTGGGTAAATAGGATTATTTACTCTAACTGATATAATATTTAAAAAAACAACCGTATGAATTTACAAACATGTAAAGTGTACGTTACAATGAACATTAAGTACATTAATGAAAATTGAAATAAATGCATACCTAAAAATAAGAAATAATTTATAAGTATCCGTATGAACGTACAATTATCAAGTATACTTGTATTCGAATGTATACCTAAAAAACACAAATACTTGCATTTATATGAGAATTCTCCATCTGTTTTATCTTCTTGATTTGAAACCACTAGTATTGTAATAGTAAGAACAGTAATAATTAAATTTGGAGAAAGAAGTTTTGTGTGAGGAATGTTATTGCGAAATTCTCGGTACAATCCTTTTGGGAACATGAAAATGCATATCAGAGATATTGAAATTCCGTTGGCTTCGTGGCTTCTTTTGTTTTCCTGGTGCAGTAAGAAAGAATTTATGAAAAGCGGACCGTATAATAATTTATTTTCTAGGTAAGATATTTTCTTTGAACTCTCCTTTTAACAGCGGTCAGAGAAAGTTGAAAACGATACAAAATTGATAAAAAAAAGCTTATTTTAAAAGTGATGTAAGTTATATAATATAAGTAGGAGTGGTTTATGAAAATCATAGATAAAAAACTTTTTCTGAAATATTACTTTAAAAACGATGGACACACACCTGTAGAAACTGTTGCTCGAACAATCCAACACGTCTCTTGGGAATCATCTTCACAATGTAAACTTCAAGGGTCTTTCGTTTCCATTATGGAAACTATTGTTGGAAAGTGAAAGTTTTGAACTATATCACAAATAAAAGCATGTTGATGAACTTGTTAAAACTATAAGAAAATAACGTCCAAATGTATAATTTTTTACCACTGGATTAAATATATTTGTTAAAAGCGCGATGTTTTAATTAATATTAATGATACATACACATGCGCGCGCACCTCTTCTGAATGAAAGTGTGGTTCCATCATATGCAAATATGTTCATTTTCATATTTCATAAAAAAAATAAAAGAAACTTAAAATTTTATTAATTGAAATCAAATGAACAGACAAATGGATAACGTATTAATATATAAATTAGGTAAATGTAAATTGTAAAACATTAGCTTATGAAAATACATTATAAAATTTTAATTACATTACTATTTTATGTAATATTATGAGAAGCATGTTAGTTGCAAATAATAAATATTAGGTACATTATTAATGACTTTATCATAAATACTAAAGGTTGAAAAATAAATGTAAGCGAATGAATTAGTTTTTTTTTTAAGTTTTATCAGATTTATTATTTGCATTTCCTTCGTGTAATGCAGTTAACAAGAGAATATCCTTTATAAATAGCAAATGAACGAAGGAATGAAGTCGAGTAAATATAGAAATTGTGAATGCTTTATATAACTGTAATATATAAAATATGCAAATGATTTATGTTCTCAATATTATAGAATTATAGATTCAATTATAGAATATATTTAATGTAATAAATAAATAAATTTCATATTTGTTTTATTATTAATTGATATTAATTGTGAATATGTAATGTAACTAGTTCATTTTTTCTTGTTCTCATTTAGTAAAATATAAAATAATACCATTGATGAAAATATTTTCTATTTCAATTATTAGATTTTTTTTGTATAATTTATTTCTTCTTTTTTTGCACTAAAAAAGTAATTAATGTAATAATTACATATAAGAAAAAAAATCAAGAATTGTTCGTACATTAAGTAATCATTTTCATCTTATTACTTCGTAGATACAAAAAAAATATGTTTTTCTAGTCAAATTCCTAATTTAATTATATTTATTAATTCTATTGATATAATCGATTAAAATGAAAATATTTAATATCAATAATTATTGAACATTTCAATCAAATAAATTTAACTGAAATTAATGTATACATAAAATGCATACAAAATTCTACGAATATTCTTCATCGTCATAAAATCCTGAATATAATACGCATACCCGTATACAATGCTCATACTTGATTTAATGCTAAAATGTCTACTAATATTTTTATATAATTTGATAACTAAAAAAAATGTCTATAGAAATTAAAATCTCAAATATTAGTAGTATACGTCAGAAAGGCTACGGGCAACAGCCAAAAGGGCCAACAAAAATTGTTAGATAAAATATTAGTAGAATTCTTATGCAATTCTTATCAAATATTATTATTAATAACAAATTTGTTTTAATTTATTTATTAAAGTCGAAATTTAAAAAAAATTGAAGACATTCTTTTTTCAACTCACAATATATGATCAAAATTTAAACACCATCATCATTTAAACATACTGCGGAAATTGAACTATAAATTCATGTGTCGACACACAAATAAAGATTGAAAAACACTGCTTTAATAAATATTCTATTTTCAATGTTTGATGATTTTATTACTTAGTAATAATAATATTTTTTGTTTATCTCAGGAGTGTCGGTTTAATGAGATAATCCTTCCCTATGGATTATGTGAGAATACACAGGCTATGGTGTCCGATGGCCGCGATGTCTTCAGCAGAGGTGGCGGTAGGAGATGAAGTAGTTGACGAGGACGGATCGGGGCCGGCGTCGTCGTCTCCCACTGGGGACCACAGGATGGTGCCGACGATGAGCAGGACGTTGGCGGCTACCGTCACCTCCATCACGTCTACAGCTGTGGACTCGTCGACCGCCGACGAGAAGGCTTGGCGCGAGATCATCGTCAACGCCGACCCAGGCAGCATATTCCGACGACTAGAGAACTTCACGCGCAACAACAACTTCATCACGGATTACTACGAAAGCGAGAACAACTGCAGCAACCTCTATGATACCAATTCAACACTTTTCGATGGAAACTTCACCAGCAACGTGACCACAGACTCAGGTTGGGATATGTTCGCAAGCGTCGCCATAGGCACCATCCTCGGTCTCATCATCTTTGCAACGATCATCGGTGAGTAGTTGAAAGCCTATACTAAACTAGCTGTCCAAACGATTGAGAGCGAAGAGCACTTAAAAATTATGCTGAAAAAAAATACACTCTCACTCGATTACTTACTGCACGTACATTTTCACCATCCCTTTTACGGAAAACACATTAGCGAAAAACACACTCTCGTACATGGACGTTTTCCACTTAGATACGCTATTGAATTTTTACTCTTTCTCAGTCTCACTCATGAAGTTTCTCACTTGTGAATTTTCTATATTTTTGTTTCTCACTCTAACGCACGCTTGATTCCCACTCCATTCGGATTTTAATTCAGTTTTCCCGGGAGATGGATGGAGGACCCTCTTTTAGTCGTGCTCACGACAGCCTACCCGAAAATCTCTCTCACTCTTGCCCCCATCTAAAATGGAAGCAAGTTTCCCTAATTAATACAATTTCGCGTAATCAAGTCAATTGCTGAATGTCATCGACGACGACGAACCGAGGAAGAAGCTCTACATCTATCATCCTCTCCCTCTTTCTTCTGTCCGCTTTTGTTCCCATTTAATTGGGGAATTAATAAAATTTTACTGAAATCTCAAACGTTTCTTTATGGAGGCCAACTTTAAAAGCAATTAGACGAAGCAGTAAACAGTAAATTATAATCAAAACCGCTATGATTGAGCTGAAACAACGTCACTCCGTCGTTGCGTGTTTCCATGGAAATAACAATTTCTTCAATTAGCACGTGCTTATCTCGAATTTTGTTTACTGCCACCATCGACATGAACCCAAAACCTACAATTTTCTATCTGCATAATAGCTCATAATTATAAAACGCACGTAATCGGCTCTAAAATTCTCTCTGATATTTATTTACTGGCTTTCTACGAAATCAACTTTAATTATTTTTTTACCAGGAATAAAAATGTTTAGCTTATCTTTGCTCTCTCGTCTTTTTACATTCTTTGTTTGGTTAATGCGGCTCATTAAAATAAGCATAGACGTTCTATTTTCTTATATTTTTTCCTTGAAATCAATTGTATATCTGCAAAATTAACAAGAAAGAAAAATATGATAAATCAATGCGTTCATTGGAATATACGTAAATGGTTTGGACGTTGTGGTATTCGGTTCTTAAAGATGTTGGAGTGTCGGTGTTACTGTATTCCGAAGGCTAACAAACTTAGACAAACAATTATTATGTTAGTTTACTCGGCTAACTTTGGATTAAGTGCTTTTCTTGTGCATTAAATAGTTATATTGTTGTGACCATCAAAGATTAAGAAATTCTTGTCTTAAAGATATTGATTTAAGTCTTTCATATAAAAACATAACATATAGTTATGATTTTTTCTCTTCTAAAATTACATCAGTCTTAGTACGAATATAAAGTAATCATCTAATTGTATTTTTTTTGTAGAGTATTATTTACATTATTATGATACATTATGTTAAAAATGAGTGAGATTTGAAATATAACGCTTCAAAAGATAATTGACATTCATTATGTAATATTTCCAAAAAAAAACTATAAATATATACTGAAAGTGAGTGAAAATCTTTGCAGTACAATAAGACTACGTTTAGCGCTTCCTCGGTTAACGCTAATTCGTGTTATATGAAATTGTTTCATTTGACAATGATATAAATTGATTTGAGAAATAATCATTATCAAAAAATGAATCCGTTATTTTACTGATATTTGATATTTGAATATCCCTCTAATGTTGGTGTAATATCATTTTAAATCTACTATTCTTCAAAATTAGTATCTTTCTCTTCTTCAAAAGGGGAGGCATCTATTGCTTCTCCTACTACATTTAGTCTGTGTCACACTGACACAAATACGCCAGCCACAGTTTTAATGTAAGTTCACAGGTTCAGAAAAATAAAGGAGACAATTTAAGCCGCGGCTCCTGCGGTTCCGATAAAATCAGTATCAGATTCTATAAAATGTACTTTTTTTTTGTTTTGGTAGTCTAATATTAGATTCTTAACTGTCTTTCCAAAAACTATCACTACAATTCATATAATTCATTGAAAAATTCAACAATGTGATTGTATACATGTATCTGTTCATCAATGTAAACATTGAGTAAATTTAAGATCACGGTTGACATTAAATGGATAATCTTTCAAGAACTAAGAAAAATTCATAAATAAACTTTGAAAAACTTTCTATAATAAAATTAATAAACAACTCGCTCGGGTAGTTAAATTTAATGATACAATAGAATATATGCTATATACATACGAAAAAAGAAACATGGAAATACGTACAAAAAAAAATGCGGAAAAAAATCGAATGGGAATGGAGAGGGCTTCAATCTAGGGGCATGAGGGTTTTGATAAGGATTAAATTGGGATATTTAAATTTGAAATGGATATTTGGGTTCCGAGGAATACAGAATCAAGAGGTAGGCGATATTGAACTCTTTGGATTCAAATATCAGGGAAAGGAAGACGTATCGGTCAAGGAACTATTTTGGTATTTGAGTAAGGCAGGATCATGTAGAGGATTATTAGGATATCGTATTTTGGTGATGATGCGAAGGGCAGAACGTTCGGATACACGGAGATTTTTTAGGACTGGATTTTGACATTGGGAAAGAATAAAAGTTTAAATTGATTATTTGTTCATATTTTGTGTTATAAGAGATACAATGGAATAAATACATATTTACAATGTTAATAATTAAATATAAACATTGCAAAGCACTACTGACTAAACGTGTTTCCGCCAGGTTCAATAATAAAGAAATACAATAATACATTTTCTTCTTTATTGTATTTTGATCAATCCTTATTATGTATATGTATTATAATAAAGTACTCGATAATATTCGATAACTATAAAACTTTTATTAACAGATACTAATTGCACAGAATTATGTTAAAAGGAAATTATTATTAGTTGCGAACAATAAAAACAGTTATTATAATTTGATACATAAATAACTATCAAAACTTTTATTGTCCATAATTTGGGCTAAGTATATTAAAATAATTATATTAAATTATATTATGAAATGATTGATACTATTAATTTTTTTATTTAGTTTTTAGCGCTCTATATTATCAACTTTGAAATTCATATAATAAAAAAAAGTTTTTATAAATTAACCACATTTATATTATATTTTGTGAAATTAGAACTTGCTTTGATGCGTGCTAATACCTATTTTTAAACTAATATCAAAATTTTATGATAAAAAATGAGAATAATATATGTTGATATGTTGATCAGTGACTTAGATTTATGTTTTCTAGCAGATATAACAATGAAGTGAATTAAATCATATTACAGAATGTTATCAAGATATAAAATCCTTCGTAACAAAACTCAAGCTTTATGAAGATCAAAGGTCAAATAATTCGATTTTCATCCCATTATTAAATGACTTTGATAGTGACCGTAAATATTATTTAAAATATTCTAATGAAGTCTCTTATTTGCAAAAGTATGAGGAAATGTTCAAAACATTATTAACTCCATTTAAGGTGCAGGTAGTAAACGTCGGCTAAATTACCACTTTATATGAAAAACATATCAATCAATAATGTGACAAGTGTCACATGAACTATAAGGTAATAAAATATTTTGAATAAGTTCTTTCTTATATTTTTTTATGTGTTGCCCACTTAAGTAATATTTGTTTTGGCCCACCAAACGATTTTGGTTTTGCAAACCCTACTCTAGATTTTAGTTCTTGCATATTTATAATTTAAAGTATTAGTAGGTAAAATGAAACCATCAAAAACTAAATTGTTTTATTACAATTACAATTTATTAACAATAAACGAGACTAAAACACACTACATGATCCTACAACAACAAAAAAGCTAGAAAGATCCAACTAAACCATACAATATCAACATAAAACAAGTAGAAATTTCTCCCGGATAAGTACAAGATGGCAGTGTATCATAGTATGTTTACCTCGAGGATGTGCTATGGCGTGGCGGTGTGGGGAAACACAACAAAGGAAAACTTAAACGCATTATAAAAACAACAAACAAAACTAAAAAAAATAATGTTTTCAAATAGCAGTGACACACAAGTACCGGATGTGGGGACACTGATAGAGGCACAGACAAACATATTGATACACAAAATAGTAAAAAAATAATAAGACACAGATAAACATATCTTTGAGCTGCGACACCCATGATCACAACACGAGAACAAGAAGAAATATAAGGACGGAACAAAATTCAACTAATATAATGAACACGAGTTTGCTAGTGCAGGGCGTTATACACTATAATAGGGTCCCATAAAAAATAATAATGAATAAAAGAATTACTACGGTCAAATACGTTAATGAAGTAAATTATACGTTTTGTAATATAATACAAATAAAAACAATAATACTATTAATATTAGGTAAGAGAAACTGCAGTTAATATGGACGTAGGAGCATGTATAGAATAAATTATGTTTATGTTTTTTTTTTCTTATTATATATTACTAAAACATAATAAGTAAAAAATAATAAGGGTTTAGACGTGAAAGTGTGCCAAATGGTTCAATTTATTTCATATTTATTCGCAAACTTTAATAGAAATATTTGGAGTATTAATATCAAAAAGGGATATGCCTGTAGTAAAAGAGAAACCATTGTGTATTCCTTGTATCTTGTTGAATTCTCGTTGCTAGCAGAAGAGAGAGAGAGCACAAAAAAAACAATATATCAATCATATTTGTAGCTTGGAATGTTTTCAATATAAATTCCGCTATGACGAAGATGATGAAAAAAATTTCTTTATATAATATATCAATTAAATAGGTTTTCAATTTTCTGCTCGTTTTGATGAAAGAAAATACAATATAAATTTTTGAAGGAATTAAATGCATTTTCTGCATTGCTTTGATAAAAAAATAAACAGTATAAAACACGTTTATAAATGAAATGTTCGTTTTTAAAGGTCAAATTACTAAGGGATATGTTTCTTTGTAAATAAAATGAAAAGCAGTATAATTTTCAGTAAAAAATAAAACGTTTTTTAATATCGTCATT